TGATCTTCCTGCTTCAGCCTCCCAAGTGCTGGGATTAGAGGCACTTCTACTACCTTAATAACCTTCCTTCTCTCCCTTCCTTTCTTACTATGGTACAGGGGGTTAAAACCAGCAAACAGACCTTTTCATTTTTGAGACAGGATCTCACTAAATTGCCTTAACCTCCCAAGTACCTGGGATTACAGGTGTATACCACCATGACAAGCCAGTAATGATTTATTTCTTAAACCAGATGAAGAGACACCAGTAGTTATTGTGCTCTTTAACTGTTTTTCTAAATCATAAATATTCCATAATTAATTTTTAAAAGGATATCAGAAAAAAACCTGATTTTAACTAAGTTCAGGATAACTTCAGAATTGTTGTAACTTAAAAAATTGTTTATGGCCAGGTATGGTAGCATATGCCTATAATCTCAGCACTTGGAAGGCTGAGGCAGGAAGATCACCGTGAGTTTGAGGTCAGCCTGGGCTACACAGTAAGTTCAAGACTAGCCTCAACTACATGGAAAAAACTTTATGTCAAGGTTAAAAAGTAGATTTCTTACAGTACTCACCCAATGAATTCCAGTAATAAAGACATATCAAGTTCAGGTGGAATACGAAACACTGATTCTAGAACTTTCTTAGCTCTTCCTTTGCTTGAGGGGGCAGTCTGTGGCATAGCTATTTTATAATAGCAAAAAAAAAGCTGATTTAGGATAAAAATTTCATAAATTGAGATCTTTGAAAAAATAATTACACAGGTTTCACATGTTGACAAAAAGTTCACCAGCACTACGCCAAGCATGGTGTCGCACGCCTGTAATCCCAGCACTCAGGAGGCTGAGGTAGGAGGATCACTGTGAATTCCAGGCTAGCCTGGGCTACACAGTGAGTTTAAGGCCAGCCTGAACTGTACAGTGAAACTCTGTCTTAAAAAAAAAAAGGTAAAAGTTCATCAGTACTCAATCAATCTCCCTTTCATTAATAACAGTAGCTCATCCGTCAAAGGCAGTGACATTAGTGACAAGTTCAGGGACCACTCCACAATGCAAGGCAGCCATGTGTGAGCAGATTATTAGGGCCACAGAGAGAGCTCATTAGAACAGCAACAGTATTTATACGTGATGCTTTATAAACACTACTATCTGTATGCCAGGGCTTATGCTTAGCACTGCATACACAGCATTTCATTTAATTCTTCCTTTTTTCTTTTGAGACAGGGTCTCACTGTGAGTTTAAAATGGCCTTAAACTTTGCAACAATCCTCCTGCCTCAGTCTCCCAAGTGCTGGGATTACAGGCATATACCACCATGCCCCCTGCTCACCTAATTCTTATTATAACCCTAAAATACAGGTATTACTGCTATTTTTTAAAAAACTAATAACCTTGGGTTTAGTAGATTAGATAACTTGTCTAGGGTTACCATGTAGTGGAAGAATCAAGATTTAAACCCCAATCTATCTGACTTGTATACTGTGACATTACTAGCATCAAAAACAATAATGTTTGAGCAGTTACTATATGCCAGGCACTGTTTTAAGTACTTGTACTACTCCAAGTATTTTTTTTTTTTTTTTTTTTTTTGAGATAGGGTCTCACTATGCAGTTCAGGCTGGCCTTGAACTCATTTTGTAGCCCAGGCTGGTCTCAAACTCACAATGATCCTCCTGCTTCAGCCTCCCAAGTGCTGGGACTACAGGCATGCGCCACCACACCCAGCCACTTCAAGTATTTTTCTGATGAAGTGACATTATTATTGCTATTTTAAAGATGAGCAAAGACGGGCCGAGAATATAGCTCAGTGGCACAAGCGCCTGCCTGGCAAATGCAAGGTCCTGAGTTTGATTTCTGGTAGAAAAAAAAAGAAATGAAAAGAAAAGAAAAGAGAAAGAGAAAGAAAGAAAGATAGATAGATGAGCAAAGGGATATTGAAGTAATTTGCTAAAAGTCATCCAGTAAAGTGGCAGAGCAAGAACAAATTCAGAAAATTCAGCTCCCTTAATCTTATCAACAACCAAATATCCTTTAATTCTTATAAACAATCAAATTAGGTTACAGTGCAGTGTTACCTTAAAAATACTTTTCTCTTTGATCATATAACTAGCTTTTATCAAAAAGAATTTCACAGGACATGTTTTATTAAATTAGTATTATTTAATCTATAAATACATTATAATACACACCCAAACTTACCAGGTTTAGGTACTTCTAGACCTCTTTCTTTATAGAAATCATGCATTTGCTTTTTTTCTCCTAAAAATGATAAAACAGACTAAATTACACTTAAAATGTAACTAGCAGTGTCAGAGATGCTGGGATTCACAACTATGTAATAAAAGAAACTTACTTTCCTCTAGATTGATCACTAATTTGTACACTATGTCTTGTAACTGTCGGTCCAACCTAATAAAAGGAAAAGATAGAGAATACCTCAGAATTCAGAAAACTCCATTTTGCTACAGTGAGTTGACATATTTTCCCTTGGGAAAGGATACCTCCTTTCTCAGAGTTGAGTTACTTCTAGGTAGCATTCATGGCTCCTGAGATATAACTCATTCAAGAGACCAAGAGAACCTCAAGTACACAACCATAAGTACCCAAGGATTCTTAACAGTTCACTAAATTGTTCCTGTGTACTGATCTTATTTCCTTAGTAGGGATGGAATCTAGGGCCTTGCACATGCTAGGCAAGTACTCCATTACCAAGCTACATCCCCACTCCCCATTTTTAACTCTTCTCTAAAGGGAATAAAAACTTAATAGTATTTGCTGAATGAACAAAAGTAATCTACTTTTAGTATTTTTCTTAGGAAAGTGAGCATGAACTGAAAACAATTAACAATACACAATGATCTATGTATGACAGGCTTAACTAAAGAAGCCAATTATTTCAGATATTATTTCTAAAACAACTTCTGAATACTATATAATAAAAATAACGTGCCTAAACAAGTTAATGAACTTGTGTGATAGGCTTAAAATCCCCAAGAAAAGAGCCTTCTGTTTATTTTTCTTTCTTTTTAAATGCCCAGCAGATTATCAGTGCCTGATACATAGAAAGCGCTCTACATGCATTTTTTTAAAATGCATTTTTAAAATGCATTTTTCTAATTCTGAGGAAGAACAAAAATTTATTCCTAAGTATACAACATCAAGCTTTCAGAAAAACCATACTTCAAATGATTGTCACTTATGTATTCCTCTTACCTTATGTTATAAAGAGGTTGTGTCTGATGTACTACTATGTTGCATTTTGGACATCTGTTGCTGTAGTAAAAATGTCTTACAATGCAGCTTTTACAAACTGTTGAAAAAAATGTTACATTAGAATACTTTAAAGATTTCAACAACTGGAAACTTTTTTCGGAACTATAAACCTCATACTTACAGGTATGAAGGCATTCAGTAATGGTAGTTGCGTCTATCAGGTAACCTTTGCAAATGGAACATAGGATGTACGGGGTGAGCTCAGCGAGATTAATCAGGCGCTGCAAATGCAATGGAAATCCTTTTAAAACACACATTTTTGCCTCCTCAGATTCTTAAATCAGCTGGCTGCGGTGGTCCTTGGCAGACGCAGCGGCCCTTGCCAGCAGTCCCGGATACTTCACAAAGTGAGGCTTGAGAGTGGCTTGGGCTGAGGAATTGGAGATCAACTTGGGCAAGACTGGCTCAGAAAAAAACCAAACCCAATAAACAAACCACCTAAACCGTAATTTCAAGACTTCCTTATAAACAATGTGTATATCTTGGTTACAATGTAAAACGTACCTCCAAGCTTTCAAAACCCGGCTAAAAGCTACAAGCACGAATGTAAAAGCTCGGCTCTCCTGGATACACTACACCCTGCCAACAGCGGGTTTTTACACGGGACTCACAAAGTGGGCAAACTTTCCACCGATCACCCCACGATCTACCCCGAACAAACAAACAAACAAAAGCCAGACCCTCTCCCAACACAGAACGCAGAGGCGGGAGAGCCTCTCACCCTCCCCCAGTCCCGCAGAAGCGGCCATGTCCCCTCCGACGCGAACTCGGGGAAGGTGGGCGCTGTGCGCTCCCTCTAGCCCGGGCTGGGTAACCTTCGCAGAATGAATGAGTGGGACCCGGGCGCCGCGTGCGGGCCCTCCCGAGGGAGGTCAGGGGAGGCGCGAGGAGCA